AATATTGCACATCAGATCAAAGTCAATCAATTTAAATCAGTAGCGAAGTGAATCAATAATGAAAACATAGATTTGCTACGTCAACTTGCGCTTAAATCATTCGATCGTATTGCGCTGAATGTAGCTGTTATATGTGTTAGAAAATTTGGCTGAGAAGAAAATAAAATTAATTTATATGGAAGGTTATAAACAAAATAAAAATAAATATAATAAAAGATTATAAATTGGATTCAAGATCAAAGTAGATTAAAATAAAGCTGCAATTAGTAAATTAAAGAAATCAGATTTTTATTTTATTTGCATATGTAATATGTATTTAAAACAATATTAGTAACAACATAATATATTTTAATATTTCAAAATTTGTATTACATTTATGGCACATATTCATTGCATAGATGGTGCTCATGGAAGAAATGTGTGATACAAAGCGATTTTTTACACCAAGAACAAATAATTACAGAAATTCCATCACATATATCGCATTTCAATTTGGAATGATCTTTGAAACAAAATTCAACTGGTGTTTGAAATTCTTCCGGTCTATTCTGTATATACCCACTTTTAAACCACGCAAATTTAAATAAATTTTGAAGCCTGGGTGACGAAAATTGGTTATGTGTTAATGATTGCAATTTCAGAATATTATTTCTAACTTGAAGATCTATTGCAAGATCTAACAATATAATGGTGTCGGAAAAATGTTTAATAAAATGTTTCCATAATCAGAAGCCGTATACATCTAAAAAATGGCTGAATTTTTCCCGTTGTACCGGCCGGAATAGTTAGGAAAATAATATCTGTCGCAGAATCTGGTCTCGTTTCTGAAATTATGTTGGGACAGTGTCCACTCCACGAATCTAATAATAGTACGGATCGTGGTCCGACATTTGGAAAAAAGACATCTTTCAGCCAAGTTTTTACATGATTTGATGTTAATTTGCCTGATTTTGAAGCTGTAACAAAAATATTAGGCGCTTTAAATAATGTTTCCTGCATTCTCGGACCAAAGGTTCTTGTAATTTCTTTCCATGTAATAAAAAGAGGCGACAACAATCTACCATCAGCTGAAATAGTCGGCTGTATGGTATAACTGTGTGTGGTTGCTGATATAGACTGTACTACAGATTCTACCTTTTTTACACCTTTATGTGCTAAGGTACGACCGAAATGAAATTCTAATTGAAATCCACTCTGATCCGAGTTATAAATGTTTTGCGTGCCATATTGATCAATATAATATTTTACGTTCGCAATAAATGTATCACACTTATTTTCCAAATCTGTTTTCGATAGCAATGATTTTTCGTTACAAATTTTGTTATTTTTCGAGACACGATATTGTGTGTACTTTTAAATCTTTTAATCCAGGATTCTGATGCTTTAAATCCTGAAGCATTTTCCTCCTCTTGGGCTCGAGAAGCCCATCGAGCGAGGTCAATATCGTGTATTGTAAAACCTTTCTCAATTGCTTCATTAAAACGGTTTAAAGTGTATTCAGATATTCTTTTTAATTTTTCTAATCTATTGCCGCCTTCACTAATTTGGATCTCGCATCGTCGCAATTGTCGTATTGATGAAACTTTTTTAAACCTTCTTCTAACTCCTTCAAGTGATCTTGGTCCTGTTATACCGCTTCTCCAATATTCCACGGCATGTCTTTTATAGTCATCCGATATAGTTGCTTCCACAGAACTACAGATAATTTCCTCCGGAAGATATATTTTACTATTATCTGCTTCGAATAAGTTAACCGATTCCGCTTCTGGGGCCTCATATGTATTGTAAAAATCTAATATATCTTCCTCTTCTAATTCGAATTGATTTTCGTCCTGTATTTCCAGTAGTAAACGTTGAATTTTTTCTTTGACTTCTACTTCCTCCGAAGTTGTCGGACTTTGTGGAAAGTTCAAATAAGTAAAAGTTGCATAGAGTAACATTATCACGTTGTATGGATTAAACAGCATCTAAAAAGTTATTAATATTAAACTTAATATTTGTTTAGAATTTTGGTTATATAAAAGATAATACGTACTTTACAATTAATGGAGTTGTCTTTTTATATGTATTAGTTCTAACGCCGCTTTTGTTTCTTTTCCCTTCTTTGATAATAAGGATGTGTAGCGCATCCAAAATAAATTAATTAATCAAAACGGAATAAATTGCGTTTGATATGTGGACTATGACAAGAGGAAAATAGTTTTACAAAATAGTGAAACAGATATTCTGAAATTTAAAGTAAACAAAAAGTTAATTTTATCAACTAAAAATAATTGTAGAGTTTACAAT